ATATAATGCTCACAACAACAGAAGAAAAAAAAATATGAGAATGTAATAAAACATCAAATATAGAGTATTTCTACCATATGGAGTAAAAAATAACAGGAACAAAAAAATATCGGATCATGTTAATTGTAGGTATTAATCATGTTAAAGTCCTTTTAAATAACAACTATCATTTGATAGCCATGATGAGTCATCCAAATCGAAAAACTAAGAAAATTAGTTCAAAGTATTTCAATTTCTTGACTTCACCAGAGATTCAAAATTAAATTTATTATGCTCAAGCATCTGGGACGTTGATTTCCATCACAAATGATATTGGTGATTCTTACTTTTCTATTTTAATAGATAAGTCTCGTGATATATCAATAAATGAACAGTTGGCTATCAAAAGTTTTATATATTAATAAAAATATAAGTAATTGAAAGATTCATTTACATTAAATTATTTTCCTCAATCAATATAGTTACACATAATGTATTGAAAAATATTCATTAAGTTTACATAGAATACACGGTCAAGGCGATAATGCGAGGGGAGTTTTATGGTTTGAAGGACTCATTTTTTATGATAATCTTTAAACCTTCTATATCCATTTGCTTTATTTAAAATGTTTGCAGCTGCAACAAAAGACCATTAGCAAGTGAAGCATCTTTTCGGATTCATTTTAAGAATTGTGAGTATATTGGATCTTACAAGATGAGTGATAGTTATTTAACATAATAAAATACTTTTATATTCAACTTATATTATTGATATGCATATCAGTTATGAGTTCTCATTTTAAGTGATATTATACATCTTAAAAAATAAATTGTTAAGGTAAGGAAGAACAATGTAGATTCCTTAGTTTATAGACATTAATTTGATATTAATTTTAATTTTATCAATTGCTTTTGCTTATAGCAGACAGTATTTTCTGTAATGAGAAATGCCAAGCATTAATTGCATGATAGAATGAGTGATGTCCTGCTCGATAACCGTCAAGTATTTCATATTGAGAAAGAAGTGTTTGATTTGTTTTTCAATGAAAAAATTGAAAAGCTTATAATTATATTCAATTCATTAATCAAAATAAAAGACCCGGCTTTCTTTTAAATTAGGTATTATCTATTATATCTTTTTAATAT